GATCAGGGACAGACCTAGCAGAAGCCAAACACAACTCTGTCCAATCAGCATCTCCTCTTCTCTATGAGGAAAATTATGTGTCTCCATGCAGAGGGTGGGGGAACTGAATGACAATGCTGCACAGTATGCAGCACTGGCCCAAGAATCACCTCTAGTAGCCATCTGATTAGGGGCCAGTGGAGGTATCCCTAGTCTGTAATGCAAACACTAAATTTTCTCTGAAAAAACTGTGTTTACTGCAAAAAGTCTGAAGGGAATGATTCTACTCACCAGACAGCTGTAGTTGTTCTGGTGACTATAGTGTCCCTTTAAGGCATTGGTTAAATTATTATAATTATTCACAATATAATCTCACAATCTCATTCTTTGTGGATTATTCTCTGAGGTGATAATTACTGGGAATGTTTCCATATGAGCTATTTTGGCTCAAATGTTTAATTCCTGGCAGTTTTTATTTTTGTAAGTAACCCCAGAAGGGAATGTTTCATTATTTATAACCTACATTTAGTGCCTTTTAGATCCTTTCTACAAACTGAAATAGATTTGACTGTAATAGTCAATGAAAATAAGCTTATATTTATTGGTACCTCCAACAAAATCGGTGTTTACACATTAAAAACCCTACTGTACAGCAGAGATTAATCCACACTAACATTTAGTAGGTAGCAGGGGGAGCCAACTGACATGGACTGATAAAAATATTAGAAAACTTAGAAAACTTTATTAAAGCTTTATGACTTAAAAAAATGATGTGTGTTGATTTTGTCTTGCTTTTGTACAATTAGTCCGTGGACGTTGTTATCGTTAAAGGTCAAGATGTATATTCGCAACAGCAAGATCTCATGTACAGATAATGGCTAAAACTGAGCTGATTAGTCCATCTAAATGTTTTAATAAGGTTCTGAATAAGTCTCTTGGAATAATATACTGAAAAGTTGGCAATATTATGGGGCCCCTTGCTCGTGGGGCCGCTGGGCAACTGCCCAACTGCCCATTATGCGTTAAGACAGTCCTAATGGAAATACTAGTGAGAAACGAACATAGATCACGTTCGGTACTTTTCTACCATACATTTTAAATTATGCTCTAGCTCTACTGTGGAATGTCTACTGACAATGTTTTTCTAGAGGACTGTTGATGCAAATATGCAAAGTGTATAGTTATAGCCCTGTAGCTTTCTGGAATATAAGGTCTTTGCAGATATTAAATCCAAGATGGGAATAACATGTTCATAATAAGTCGTCTACTAATTTCAAAGAAAATTGTTCTTTTATATTCTTTGCCACTATTACAAGCATGTATATCACTGTTCTTGTGTTTCTTTTCAGGTTTGTTCGGTTGCTTTCACCAATGAACAATACAGATGGCCTTTTAGAAACAAAGCCATTTGTCTTTGGCATTAAATAATTGGTTTTAACAACTACAATAGTGGGTAATTCATCAGTTTCATCGCTACTCAGTAGCACATACCTGGGAATTGCTAGAACAGGTTACAGCTTCAGATTCTTAAATAAGTTTTTTCAGCTTTGTAAAGTATGGCCACAAGTAGGGATAAGTAAAAATCTCCCACCCTAAAGTAAAAAAACAAAACATACTTAATTTTCATTGCATACATCCCGTCGGAAGGTTTGCAACAAATAAGTAAATAAAACCATGAATAAAAAATGTAATACAAGTGCAATTTTCTTTTGATTTATCGTCTCCACTATGAATCTTGAAAAGTGAGAGCAGACATTTTTGCTGTTAAAAAAGTCATTTTCCCTGCCCAAACAGTCCATTAGAGAGACATTGGCTGATTAAAATGTTGATGATTTTTTTTCAACAAATGTGAACATATAAAAAAAATTGCAGAAACACCAAAAAGTAAATGTGATGCATCTGCTCTTTCTTAAACAGAACCCGTTTTAGAATCAGCTGTTCTTCATTTTAATTTTCCAACAAACAAATAAATAAATATATAAACTAGCAGACATTTATTAAGCTATAACCAGTTAATATATTATGCGTAAGTTACAGTATCAGTTTTGATAAGCATTTTAGAAAGCATTGCCCACTATGGAAGGAGAAAATAGGTGTTTTGCGATGTCAAGAGAAGTCTACACACAATTAAAAAGAAAATATTAGACTTGAGCATTAGGATTAGGCAGAACTGCGATTTGGCCTAATTTGGGATGATCGGCTGTTCAGTCGAATTCTGTATCTACCAAACACCATACAGACGTATAACTGAGCAAACATCTAGCGCGATGGCGAATAAGTTAATTTGATTTGGTATCTGGAGTTCTGCCCATGGCATAAAAAAAAAATGATCAATAGCTAGAAGACCGTCACTAAATGTTGGTTTTATTCACAAATCAAGTGACAAGTGAGAAATAGTCAGAAAAAAATATATAAAACATTATATATACAAATATATATATAAATTTAAATAAAATATAAATATAGAATGTCTTTACTGCTCTTCCTCTTATTCCCTCTATTGGTTACTTTTTCCCACTCTAACTGTAAACCAGACAGGAAACCATATTCATAATTAATTTGTGATTTTTGTGGGAAAAGCAAGTTTTATGGCTTGACTGGTGTGCAGATTTTTGTTTAACATTGTATTAACTATCCACAGACTTCGTGCGGAAGGGGTTTTCAATCACATTTAAATGTGATTGAAAACCCCTTCCACCTGAAGTCTGTGGATAGTTAATACAATGTTAAACAAAAATCTGCACACCAGTCAAGCCATAAAACTTGCATTTCCCACAAAAATCACAAATCTGCCGTGATGTTACTATCCCAAAGGATTCTGGGTGGGCATATGCAAATTAGTTTAACAAAGAATCACATTTTTGCCTCATTCCATTTAAAACATGGATTCCTTTTAATCTGTGTTTGCTGTATACAACAGCTTTTAACACAATTTAGGAAAAGATGCAAAGCCAGAATATATATATAAAAATCAGCACTCCCAGGTAGCTTTCTTAGGAACTTCTTTTACTCAAAAGTGTAACAGTCAATATTTTAGTTCCATTTAGGAACTTTCATCAGGACAACCACCTGAATGGAAGTAAAATGTTGACTGTTACACTTTTGAGTAAAAGAAGTTCCTAAGAAAGCTGCCTGGGAGTGCTGATTTTTTTTATTTTAAACATTTAGTGCAATCAAGCACCGGGTCAAATAACTGTATGTGGGAGTGCAAGGCTTTTTTTCATTTTTATTTTTTCTTCATTTTAGATATATATATATTTAGCAGTACACTTATTGGAATTGTTTTGATCTTTTTTGGTTTGGCCGAATTGGCGATGTGTGGCCAAAGTGAACCAGCACATCAACTAGCATCAGACATTCCAAACAAAATGTAAATTTTGGGTAAAATAGTTTGGCCCTGTTGAACAAGCTCACACATAAGGAGAATGCAAGAGTGAGTTGATCGTGATGCAATTGAAGCCAACAATGTAATAATTTAAACAGGTCCTGCAGTTGGTGCATTAATCAGTAGCAGAGCTAAGATCAGAGTCTACAGTTGTTGGTGAAACAAAGCTCATAGGATTACTGATTACTGAACCACTCTGTGGCTTGTGCTATTAAAGATTTTGTAAGTAATGTCCATGCTACACTCTAATTATTAGTGTTCCACTCACAGATTCAGGTTGTTGCTGAAAATCTTCAGTTTTAAAGCATTTTTAAAAGGTATATTCTGTTTCACCTTTATGGAGTCTTTCACAGCTTATCACTGTTCCGGCAAATCATTGGTGCATGTCTTCAGGATGTGTAATGTGTTACATATCAAAATACTCTTCAAGACAAGAATGAGCGCTATTTTGTGCCGCTGTACAAGAAAACACATCTCGTCTTTGCAACTGAAGAAGAGCATTCACATGGAAGCCTAATTCATACCAACAATCCTTTGGTATAAACAATCTTCTGGAAATATCATGTGTTATGTTTGCTGTGATAGTAACATAATAGGCACACATTGATTTTATGCCATTAAAGTTGACATCCTCGGGATAATAACATGCATGTACAATCTATAGTAGTTGAGTTATGCTTCACTGCTTCAGTGTCCAAAACGTTAGAAAAGAAAGTCTAAGATCAGGAAGTCTTAGGCGACAACACAACAAAAAGTAATCTGTTAGGGTCAGTTAAATAGTTTGTACATGGACCATTGCCTGGTGGTGAGGTATATGAAATCTTAATAGGGCCTAAGTCTATTTTTTATAGGATAGTATGAAATACAAACAAGATAGGGTTCCAGTTGGTATCACTAAAACATATAAATAAAATACAACATAGTATAATACTGTTATAGCCTCTCAATCGCTCAACACTTAATGGTTTCACTCACAGATTGGTTGTTAAAAGCAAGCCCTTGGGGTGCCTCCCCTATGGTTATGGGGGGTATGTCCCACTGCTGACACTAGTTCCAATCCAGATACCAGGAAGGTCACAAACTCCAAATGCTATGGATGTACAAAAATATTTATTGGCATAAATTGCTAAAATTATATTGTTAAACGGTCCTACGCGTTTCGTTCTCTTCTGGGAACTTCCTCAGGGACCAGTATTATAAAAATACAATAATATCAAATATACAACCAAGTATACCAACAAGCCTCTGGGAATCGATGACAGCCATTTGTCAAATTGCTTGAGAGGAGAGGCCAATTAACATTCTAATCATGCTACTGTTCTAGATGATTTACTGCAAACCAATTAGTTTGAATGACTATCTGTTCCTGTCCAAATTAAAGATAATAAAGTTGCGTGCACGCAGAAGTAAATTCACACTGAGACACAAGGTTCAGGGTAATGAAAGAACTTCAGAGAAGTTTAATGGCTTCTGACAGAAAATGGGTGCGCAGACCCTTATAAAGGCATTATTACATCATTGAAGAAAATCAAGATATAGACAAATAGACATTGTTAATTGGCTTAGGTGCTAAGATGTTAGTAAAATGCCCTCCCCATTCTTAGGTCACTATCTACGTAATTTCTTAACTCCTACAGGTTTTAGCGCCATCTTGTTAAAATGAGGAGCTCACTCGACGGGAGGGGCCTTTTGGCAGCTATCCATTTAGAGCGTAACTGGCACTTGTTACTTTCTCAAGGCTAGGTTTCAAGGCTTTTAGTAAATACACATTTTATCAAAGCTATTTCTTGCTGACATGCAAATTCTATGTTCTATAGACAAAGCTTTCTTGTAAAACTATGGGGGCCTCTTAGAGGTATAGCAAGAGGATTTAAAGGGGCCTTACAGATTTATAGAGGCCTAATAATTCTACAACACTACCAGAAAGTGAAGCCCATCGTGTAAAAAAAAAACCCCAATATTTACATGATGATAACTTTAAAATAGAAACTGCTTAAAATAATATAAAAACAAACAAATACATTTTAATAAAGAATTGTGTTATTATAAAACATTATTTTATATAGGTATATGTTTTGCCTAATCTTTAGAGGTCTATACTTTGTTCAAATGTTAGTTTATGAGCTGGGATACTTAGATATAACATATTTATAAGGGCTTAATAGAAATGGAGGTTAATTTGGACATTTTTTTAAACGATGGAAAATCTGCTTTAACCCCTTAAGGGCACGACATATGTGACATGTCATGATTCCCTTTTATTCCAGAAGTTTGGTCCTTAACGGGTTAAAAAAATGCTGCTAACTGAGTTGAGAAGAGGGCCACATTGAAAATACTACTTTAATTTCATTCTCTTAGAAATATTCACTACTTTTCATTTGTCATTCCTATTAAGCTCTGGTGCTCGCATATCCCTAATGCATTGCAAAACATCCAATAACAATAAATAAATCATAAAAAAAAATCACAGACACTCTGAAACAAAAGCTCTTCTCTAATCATCCTGTCCTTGGCATATATTAAAACAGTTGTTTCCTGTTTATTAATACATAACAAAGTCTTGTTGTTATTTTTTTTTTTCCTTTCTGTCTGACAGACTGAAAGGGCCTGTTCTGTTGAAAGGGAGATCAAACAATCAAAAAAAAAGAAAATATTATTCAGCTAGAAAGGTAATTAAACTATAGCTGTCAGGCCCTACGGGCCCATTTGCCCATTTGGAGGTAAAGCTATAGGCTGAGGTGAAATAGTATTGTCAATGTTTCATGCAATACACAGCAATCTGTTTTTAGAATTCCCTGTATTGTTATGGCAAAACAACACTAAGCTCTGCTCTTCAGAACAAAGGAAGCTTTTTATAAAATCAATAACGGAAGCCAGAACACTCAATCACACTCAATATGAAACTGCCAAAACAATTTTATCCTCTGATCCATCCAATAAATGTAACTTAAAATTGTTTAATTTCGCTGGCACTGTGTCTTTATTCACAGCAACCAGGGCCATGCTAACAGATAATGTACAGAGCAGACAGATCAAAAGATTATTAGTGTCAGTATTTCAAGGGGATCTGGCTTCTTCGAACTTCTTTCTATCGAGATAATCATGTATATATTGCATAAGGCACTGATTTGCAGTTACAAACAGCAATGTGAAATATTTTCACATTTTCATTTTATCACAATAGTTTAAATTCTTCTTCTTTGTATTTAATCATGGGGTTCCCAATTATTTTTTTCTAGTTGAACCCTTTGACATAGTATACCAACATTGTTGAACCCCCTAAAAATGCTTGCACCATAGCAAAGTGTAATGTTTTCTTTTTTAACAAATTTAGTTTTTTTTGGTATGTTTATATACACTACTTTCTACAGATAGTAAACAGATTGTAGTACTTAGGAGCGAGTGTCGTAGTATTTTCCACCTTGTTTGGTAGCTGTCACCCTTGCTGCCCTCTTGTGTATTTGTACCCCACCTCCTCTAGACTGTAAGTTTACTTGAGCTGGGCCCTCATCTACCTACTGTTCCTGTGTCACTGTATAATTGTCTCATTTATTGTAAATCCCCCCCCCTTTCATAATATTATAAAGCGCTGTGGAATTAGTTGGCGCTATATAAATATCAATAATAATAAAATTAAAAAGTGTGCTTTTGTGTAGATTTGGTGTTTGCATATAATTTTAGAGTATTAATGCTGTGGCTTGTTTGTATGTAATGTTATATTTGCGTGCAGTGGTGAGTTTCAATATTGTGTTTGCTTTTAAATGCAGATGTACATGTGTGTGTAATATTGGTGGTTGAATGAAGGGTGTGTTGAGTGTTTGTATATAAATGTGGAGTTTGAAGTAAGGGGTGGTTTTATATGTAATGTTTGCGTTTGAAGGAGCGTGATTCCATGTTGTTTTAGTGTTTGTTTGCTGGAATGTACACACATACGCTTCCACATACAGTTGCAAGAAAAAGTATGTGAACCCTTTGAAATTATATGGATTTCTGCACAAATTGGTCATAAAATGGTTATGGGGGGTATGTCCCACTGCCGACAGTAGTTCAAATCCAGATACCAGGAAGGTCACAAACTCCAAATGCTATGGATGTACAAAAATATTTATTGGCATAAATTGCTAAAATAATATTGTTAAACGGCCCTACGCGTTTCGTTCCCTTCTGGGAACTTCCTCAGGGACCAGTATTATAAAAATACAATAATATCAAATATACAATCAAGTATACCAACAAGCCTCTGGTCAAAACAATAGACAATCACAGTCTGCTTAAACTAATAACACACAAAGAATGAAATGTTGCCATGTTTTTATTGAACACACCATGTAAACATTCACAGTGCAGGTGGAAAAAGTATGTGAACCCTTGGATTTAATAACTGGTTGAACCTCCTTTGGCAGCAATAACTTCAACCAAACGTTTCCTGTAGTTGCAGATCAGACGTGCACAACGGTCAGGAATAATTCTTGACCATTCCTCTTTACAGAACTGTTTCAGTTCAGCAATATTCTTGGGATGTCTGAGGTCATGCCACAGCATCTCAATCGGGTTGAGGTTAGGACTCTTACTGGGCCACTTCAGAAGGCGTATTTTCTTCTGTTTAAGCCATTCTGTTGTTGATTTACTTCTATGCTTTGGGTCATTGTCCTGTTGCAACATCCATCTTCTGTTGAGCTTCAGCTGGTAGACAGATGGCCTTAAGTTCTCCTGCAAAATGTCTTGATAAACCTGGGAATTCATTTTTCCTTCGATAATAGCAATCCGTCCAGGCAGTGATGCAGCAAAGCAGCCCCAAACCATGATGCCCCCACCACCATACTTCACAGTTGGGATGAGGTTTTGATGTTGGTGTGTTGTGCCTTTTTTTGCCACAAATAGTGTTGTGTGTTTCTTCCAAACAACTCAACTTTGGTTTCATCTGTCCACAGAATATTTTGCCAGTACTGCTGTGGAACATTCAGGTGCTATTGTGCAAACTGTAAACGTGCAGCAATGTTTTGTTTGGACAGCAGTGGCTTCCTCTGTGGTATCCTCACATGAAATCCATTCTTGTTTAGTGTTTTACGTATTGTAGATTCGCTAACAGGGATGTTAGCATTTGCCAGTGACTTTTGTAAGTCTTTAGCTGACACTCTAGGATTCTTCTTCACCTAATTGAGCAGTCTGCGCTGTGCTCTTGCAGTCATCTGTACAGGACGGCCACTCCTAGGGAGAGTAGCAGCAGTGCTGAACTTTCTCCATTTATAGACAATTTGTCTTACCGTGGACTGATGAACAGCAAGGCTTTTGGAGATAATTTTATAACCCTTACCAGCTTTATGCAAGTCAACAATTCTTAATTGTAGGTCTTCTGAGAGCTCTTTTATGCGAGGCATCATTCACATCAGGCAATGCTTCTTGTTAAAAGCAAACCCAGAACTGCTGTGTGTTTTTTATAGGGCAAGGCAGTTGTAACCAACACCTCCAATCTCATCTCATTGATTGGACTCCAGTTAGATGACATCTCACTCCAATTAGCTCTTGGAGATGTCATTAGTCTAGGGGTTCACATACTTTTTCCACTTGCACTGTGAATGTTTACATGATGTGTTCAATAAAAACATGGCAACATTTAATTCTTTGTGTGTTATTAGTTTAAGCAGACTGTGATTGTCTATTGTTGTGACTTAGATGATGATCAGATCACATTTTATGACCAATTTGTGCAGGAATCCATATAATTCCAAAGGGTTCACATATTTTTTCTTGCAACTGTACATGCACATTAACACACAGATACACACATACAAACAAATAAACACATTGACACGTATACATTCATTTATACACTGAAACATATACACATAGACACAAAGATAAACACCTGTACACACTGGCACACACACACAAAGATACACACATATACACACAGATGCACACACTGGCACACACTCAACTCAAGAACAGGCTGACATCCCCTATCTTTCTTCTGTATTTTTTTTACATGATAAATGCTCACTAAGTTCATAGGCAGCCCGCTATTAACCTGTGTTGTCACTAATGCATGCACAGTTTAACTATATTTCAAACACTGACAACAATTCCTGAAAACTTCACAGCAGGCTGCTATAATTCACTGCATATGTACATCTATTTTGTAAAAATAGAAAATGCATTTCGCAAAAGCAGTGAACAAGAGTTTGCCTTAACATGCTACAGAATATGCACTGGCTTACTCCAAGCACAGTGAGAACTTCATTGATTTGAAGCAGTCATGGTGCTTGGTGTCTGTATGTTTCACTCCAACTTTGGCAACATCATTGGGGCGTCATTAGCTGGGATTGCTAATTGCAGTTCTGTGAACATTTGGAATCTGTTATCAGTACGCTCAGCATGTTTTCGACAGACAGATAATGGCGGCTTACAAGAGCTTAGTAGTGATTTAGCAAGGGAGTATGACAAGCATAGCAATCCCTTGTAGCAGATTCCCCCAACAAGAGACGGCACTCCAAATTGAGGGTGAAGTAGAACTGACTGTACTGGCACATACAGCCTCTTTTATTCACATTCTAGAAACATAGTACTGCCCACAGGGTTTTGAAGACAACCAATAAACATGTACAATACACTCAGACACTCCCACACAAAATCCTCCCCTCTGCCTGTGATATAATTACTGAACACAATGGTCTAACTTAATTATCACAGGTAGGAAAATACACAGTTTTACACAATATTCATAACTCTAAAAGTATACATCACATTCACATAAAATACTCCAAATACAAACATACGTCAAAATCATACAAATTGGTCAAGTGGGTCAAAAGTTAGTTCGACGTCCTTTGTGACCAAATTAAGCATTTCTTTTCTGCCCAAA